CTCTTTCTGGTCCCTGTGTAAAAGGCTTTTCCAGGCAGATAACTCACATTGTTAAAGGATAATTGTCAGGATTTATCCTGTGGGTAAACACTACAGTTCCGTGTGCAGCTTTTTCATTAACATGTGATGATTGCCCATGTTGCCCATATTTATTGACTCCAAACTTCTCTCACTATGGTTTATTCCATTCTTATTATTCAGTTTCCATCTCTTTTTATCTTCTTGTAAGGCCTTCTAATTCCTTGTCCAATGATGGCAGATGCAAAGAGATAATTTTCTAACGTATATCATCTATACTTTCTATTTATCTCTTTGTATAACTTTTCATATCATTTGCATGGATTTTGATGTGTGTGCTCAGCCTGTTATTTTGATTAGTCTTCTCTATATGTAACTTAAAAACATCTTTTCTCTATTGTCTTCTTCAAATTTCTATTTAGGATTGACTGTCTACACAGTTTTACTTAGAAAAGCTGACAATGAAGGAGTATATGTTTGCTGATGTAGCTGATATGTGTAATATACAGAAAAATAGAGCAGAAAAACATACCACTAGCTTTATCTAATTGTGCCAATTACACTTAAATCTAGGTTTCAGAGTTTCTGGGAGAGCTTTAAGCTTCTGCTTATTGAGAAACAATTTAAAGGATCAGAAGTGGGAGTCTGATTCTTTCTTGATTCGCCCTCTACCACTCTCAAATGGTTATCCCACTGAACCATTGAGACAATGAGGGATCCTAAATTCTGACCCTTCCACCTTCTTCAGGCCCAGTACTCTGGGTCCTCATTGAGCAATGAGGGAGTGGCTTCAATGGTCCTAGAACTGATGCAGCCGTTCAAGGAGCACCCACGCTGTTCTCGAGTTCTCCATCTGCAGCTCACTAGGTGCTGTTGTTATTGAGGCTGAAGATCGGTGTCTGAGCTACAACACCTCATCCTCACATGCTAGTTGCGAACGACAAGAGTGTGTGTGCGTGTGTGTGTGTGTGTGTGTATGCACTCATAGTTCTGTGGGTTGGGAGGCAAGAAGTGTAGTTCTACAGTAAGAAGTTAGTTGATATTTATTAAATGTTGTGGGCAGACCTCTAAAGTCATATATGTGGGAATACAAAGAGCACATAGATGTTTTTTTCTTCCATGTCCCAGTGAGGAGCCGAATTTGGATTAAAAACTCTCTTCCTTTAAAATGCAACCTGTTATGGAGTGAATGTTTGTGTGCCCCCTCCCCCCCAGTCATATGTTGAAATCCTAACCCCAATGTGATAGCGTTAGGAGGTAGGGTCTTTGGGACATGATTTGCTCATAAGAAGGGAGTCCTCATGAACGGAATTAGTGCTCTTATAAAAGGGACCCCAGAGAGGTCTCACCTTCTCCCTGCCCCATGAGGACACAGTGAGAAGTCAACAGCCTGCAACCCAGAAAACGACCCTCACCAAAACCCAACCATACTGACATCCTGATCTCAGACTTCCAGCCTCCGGAACTGTGAGAAATATGTTTCTGTTGTTTATGGGTCGCCAGTCTATGGTACTTTGTTATAACAACCCAAACTAAGACACAACCTAATTGTATTTTTAGAAATAAAATAATAAAGTTAGAAAAGTGATGTAGAAGGGAATATCTGTACATTTGAGAAGTAATGAGTAAAATGACTGATTGGTTCTTTTTAATAATTATTGTGTCACCTTACGTAAGGCCCAGCCTTCTTCCTCCACCATGGAGGTCTCTGAACTTGATGATCATGCCCCCCTGCCAATAGCAGACGTTTGAGAACATACCCCAGTGTGGGTTGTTTTGTTTGCTCATAAATTGTATTCATATACTGTCCCACAAATTCATTAGGAATGTTAACATTTCCTATCTTTTTATATATTTTATAAGTTATGGAGCAGAAAATAGGAAAAGAAATTTGAAGTTTCTCTCCACATCCTAATAAATCTAGCACGTTGCCTATTTCTTGTAGCCTTTCAATCAGATTCCTGAAAAGTCATTATTTTAAAACTTTATCATGGAAATTTCAAAAAAATGTATAAAAGTAGATCTGAAAGTATAATAAATCCCATGTACTTATCACTCAGGTTGAGTAATTACCAATTTATAGCAAATCTTACTTCATCTAAAGCCCCATATCTTCCTCACCCAAATTATTTTGAAGCAAATTCAGGTATAGAATAATTTCATTTTTAATATATCAAAATTATATAATACTCCACCTAATTAACATTAAAGAAAATGAGCAAAAGAAGAAATAGAGAAAAAGAAGGAAAGAAGGAAGGAAGTAAACAACAAACCAACTAATGAAGGAAGGAAGTTATGAGGGTTTGGTTACTATTTTATTCCTGTAATAGAAGTAATTCAAGCAATAAAAGTTTGATCTGGTGCAAGTTAATTTGCTTTATTTTGGAAATGATCCCGGTTAATGAGAGCTTACCTTCAAAGAGTTCAGTTCTGCTGCAAACCCATTGACCCCAATGCCTGCATACTTCAAACACTTTTAGATGGAATTCAGGCTCTGTAGGATCATTTGATCCCACCCAGGTGGTGGACATAATGGAACCAGAACCACCTGACTCTGGGTTTCCTTGCCACTTAAAACAAACAAACAAAATAAAACTCAGCATTTTTCTGACCTTTGGTTTTATTTCGTCTAGTTTTTACTTTGGCTAAAAGGCTTCAATAAAGATAGAAAAATGTAAAGCTACAGAGATTAAATTACCAGCACACAGCAATGATCAAATTTTACCCATAGGAGAATAATCAGGTAACTTTTCTGCAATCTCAGATACAGATAATTATTTCTTCAACTCGCAAATACAAGACCCCATTCCTGTGGGCGCTGGATGAAAAGACATGGGTTTATCCTGTGCTGAGGCCAAGGCTGTTTTACCAGCTGAGCTTGGACTCTGCTGACCTCCAGAGGGAGCCCCGGGGCAGCCACACCTGTGGCTTATCTGTGAAAGGGCCAAAGTTAGTTTACGGAGTCAATATTTCTGATAACCAAGCCCCAAGTGTTGGTGTCAATGGATTAAAGATCAATGGTAGCAATTTCAGAATAGTGAGCACCTTTTATAAGTAAGCAGTTTGGTGCTATGCCAGTGTAGCCTCCTGTATCCATGGACAGGAACAAGTATTCAAGCAAAACAATCTGTAATACAACTATTTACATCTCCTACGTTTTTACAAATAGTAATTATGGGAATCCAGCCAACTGTGCTACCTGGGAAACTCTTTGAGCTAAAAACATACAATAGCTTAGGGTAACACAACCCTGAACAGCCACAAAAGCCTGCCTTGATGGTGCTTTATGATATACGTGTTACATAAGCCATTGTGAGATCCTGAAACTCAACACTCTTCATCCGCAATGTCGTTGGTGGAAGGAAGAGTGATTTAGAAAAAAATATATATATTTAATTAAGGAATCATGTTTATTATTAAAAGGGTGACAATTTTATTATGATTATATTTTTCAAAGTCCTTGCATTTTAGAAATACATATTGAAATATTTATGAAGGCAATGATGTCTAAGATGCTTCAAATCCACTGGTGGAGTGAGGGGGGGAAGCGGCTGTGAAGAAACACAGGTTTAAAACAAGATTGTCCATGGGTTGACAATGATTGAATCCAAGTGTTGGGTGCAGGGGGATTGTTATGCTATTCTCTCTACTTATTCACATACATTTTTAAAAATTTTTCCTTATAAAACATACTTTTAAAAATCCATTTCTCTCAGGGGCTAACTTATAATTTTGATTTGCTGATGTAATAATGTGTTTATTAGTAAGGTTTGGTTATTTGATTTGCTGATGTAATAATGTGTTTATTAGTGAGGTCCACAACTTGATAGAATGTTGATAGCTTTAAGTCATTCAGGAAGAAAATGCCTCAGCCTTCCACCACGACTATTGTGAAGCAGGAGATAAATACCAGCCATTTAAAGCAGAAACTATGTTTCTCTAACAACAGGAATCTCTTTCAAAGCAGCTAAACACTTCTATAACCTGTTACACTGTGAAGGACCTAAAACCGCAATAGGTAGACTGTTAAAATAATAAAAGCAGTTTAATAACTCATAGGAATTGTAAAAGAGCAATCATACATTTCATTAGAGTTTTCATAGCTCAGAATATGCTTGGGGAATTGTTAATTGCCTCAAAGTAAAATGAGAACTCCCACCCAGATCTGGCTAGGAGGTAACCTTCCAGTTAGCTTGTCAAGATTAGCACCAATTTCCAAATACGCACAGGAAGCTGCAGGATCCAGACTTTGAGGCTAAACAGCTCTGCGTTTCTTCTTCGTCCTTGCCCACCACGTCCTTTGTGAATCTAAAAAGAGTTGTGAATTTTGAAGGGCAGGATCTATCAGCATTCATTATGACTTCAGAGATAGCAGACTCTCAAGTTAAGTGAAAGGTGTTTGGGGTTTGTTTTTAAACAATAATAAAATACGCTACTATTTCAATAAAATATGAACTATTTCCAATATTTCAATGAAATATGCCATTTCAGCACAACAAAACACTGGAAATAGCTTTGTCTTATGAAGCTTATGAAAGCTACTTGAAGTAACAGAGAATCTAAGGAGAAACAGAGACAGATCTCTGGAAAGATAATGTTTTGTGTGTTTATTTTTCTTCCAGAACTCCAAATAGTTGCCTTGGCAGGCAGGCTGCTCTATAACTGCCCCTCCTGAAGACTCAGAGGTGTTTACAGAAATTGAAAGTTCCAGCAGTACATTTCCATGAGCTCATTACCAGTTCCACTTATGCCGTTTAGATGTCGCAGGTACAAATGAACATCCATGGGTATAACCCCTGCTTTGAGCTTTTAATTACAAACACAGTAGCAGAAGTCAGATATGCAATTACTGTAACATCAGGGCATCTTTTTAGAATCCCTGCTTTGGTCACTATTATTCAAAGCAACTCCAATGCCATTTCTGGCCTGCCTCTTTATGCTAATCAGCTTAGCCCACTCGGCTCCTCCTCCTCCAGCCTCCCTTAAGAACTGTTCACTTTCAGCTGTCACGGAGAGAAACTCAGACCAGACTTAGAAATCACTTGATTTAACTCAGCAGCACTTTTGTGTGTGTGTGTGTGCATTACTCTAGCAGTCTTCTCTAAATAATTGGGGCATTAGATTCAGGAGTCAAAAACTGCCAAAAGCGTAAACTGTTAGAAATAGTGACTTTGTAGGGTTTTACACTAGAAGGGAAAAGTTTCAACATGCTTTGAAATGAAAGAAGAATTAAGTTGTGTTTTTATTCAAATGAATTGGCATCTTTATACGTAGGGGAAGTTATACTGGTAAAATATTTATGTCAAGAATCATGACTAGGAAACACTTGGAAGTTTATTAGAGAAGTAAATGTTTTACAAGCAAGGACAGGATCTGCACGCACCTCTGGGGTTCTGGGTGTCTTGTGAAGACCATTTTAGGTGACTGGCCAGGGGGAGGGAATGCCCTAGTGATACCGGAGCCACAACGTAACAGCCAGTACCATGTCTACTATACAAAGAAAAGCGAGCAGCCACCTGTTCGACAGACTGCACACCTGTAAACTGAAGCTTCTGGAGGACCAGCGACAGCAAGGTGAGTCAGGCTAATGGATCGTGTGTTCTGTGACTTCCTGCGCATTTGCATTCCCAGAAGAATCGTGAGCTAGGGAAGTCTGCCTGTGAAATGCTTTGCAATTTCTCAGTTTTAAACTCTGAGAATAGACATAATAGTGATGCATGGGGTGGGTTAACTTGGATTCACTATTGCTTTTTTAAGGACTATGGAAGACTATCAAGAATGCATATTTCTTGCGGTTGTCATTCTGAAACTTATGTGCTTAAACTTCCAGCCACTGTCATTTTTCTAGAGTATGCTAGATTTTGTATAATTCAAAACACCCATCCAGCAAGGCTGAATCAGCTACAGGGGGAATTTGCTGGGAGTAGTTTTAAGTTAGTCTGGCACTATGTCCCCTGTCCTACCACTAATGGTACACTTTTGGACTTAAAGTTTAAGCCTCATTTTATCTGGATCTCTGGCTCATTCATTCATGAGCAAAATAAATATATTTTTGGCTCTTTCCCTTTTATGGTCCAGGAACAGCTGGAGACAGACAGGGAAAAGTGTCGCATTTCACATGATGGGCTCTCACGCAGACTAAACTATCTACCTTGCAGCCATTTTCACCACCAGTCTTTTTTAAATTTCAAATCCACTACCCAGCCAGCTGCATTAATTAGTGGCAGATGGTTGACATGAATAGACAAGATGATCCCTCCAATCCATTCTGTCAGGGACAGCAAAGGACACTTGCAAAAAAGGCTGTCACAGATGACATCACCATCCGCCAGAGGCTAAGAATTTACTCTAGACATTTCTAACTTCTCCTCAGTAACCTGTGATGGATCTATATATGTATGAATGTAGGCTTTGGGCTCTTTATTTATTTTTCTGTAGATACAGTTTTAGATTTCAGTGGATGGAGAGTGTTGGCTAATAGGCTGAAAACTTCCATTTCCAAGGTGGCATCTGTGAGCTAACATTTGTGTGAATGTGTCAGGCCACCATCCTATATCAGTTCCTGGAGCTGTGCAAAGTGAGTCCATGCTGTTCAAGGCTTAGCATAACGTGGGTAGAAAATACTTCATTTAAATGAAAACAGCATTGGGCCGGCCCTGCGGCTTGGTGGTTAAGTGCATGCGCTGCGATGCTGGTGGCCCGGGTTCGGATCCCGGGTGCGCATCGAGGCACCACTTCTCCGTTCATCCTGAGGCCGAGTCCCGCATACAGCAACTAGAAGGATGTGCAGCTACAACATACAACTATCCACTGGGGCTTTGGGGGGAAAAAATAAAATAAATAAAATCTTTAAATGAAAACAGCATAAACTTTTAAGATCACTCTGTACCATCAGGGCTCATATAAATTATTTTGAACTAACTCCCTTAGAATGTAAAGACCTGGAATGTGCCAGGGTTTAATCATAGCTCTGTTCTTGCTCCTCTCTTAGTAGACAATCCTAATTCATCATAGATTTTTTTGTTTGCTGCTCATTTATTGGAAATATTTAAAGCTACTCCCTCCCCCCCATTGCTGATGTAATATTTATTATATAAAATTTGGTGGAGGGGGCATAAAGGAGATGGTAAAAATCACCATAATCATACCACCCAGAGAGCTGCTATTAACATTTTAATGTATAGTCTTCTAGCCTTTTCTTCAGTGCACATGTACAGACTATTCTTTTGCTTGATTTTTAAACAAAATAGACTTATTTTTATATTTAGTGTTTTGTAAACTGCTTTTTAACTTACCAATAGATTATGAACAAATTTCCATGTAATTGTATATTCTTTTACATCCTTGTTTTTATAGTTGTATACTATTCCCATATATAGATGTAGCAAAATTCCTTTAGACAATTCCCTACTGTTAGACATTTCATTTATTTTTAATTCTTTACTATTACTAAACAACATTGTGTTTAACATAAATTAATAGATAAATCATTGCAGAGATAAGATTATTTTCCTGGGATACATTTTTAGAGGTGGAATTGCAGGGTCAAAGTATATGCATGTTTTTAAGTTTTTTTTTTTTTTTTGCCAAATGACCCTCCAATCAGCACTGTAGAGATATATTCTCAGTAATACTGTGTATTAGCTTAAAAATTCTTTCCCAATTTTATAAGTGGAAAATAGAATTCCACTGTTGTTTTAATTTAAGGCAGACTGTCTTAATGTCCTTTCTTACTGGCCATATCCAGAGCAGTCTGGAAATATCATTATGATGACATACTTCCCAAAATACCAACAAGACTAGAAGTCTGATCTCCTTTCTCAGACTGAAGCTTTTGCCTAGAGTGTTTTGAAAGCAACCATATTCTTCCACAGCCGAGTCTCAAAATATCTTCCCACATAAACCACAATCCATAAAGTTGTGAAGCATGCTGGTGCAATCCAGACTGGCCGTTGACTGCTATAAGCAATATCCTCTAGAGATCTTAGCTGACAAGTGACACTGGGCAGTGTTTGCTGTGCTGCTAAATAGCATTCCAGTTACTGTCCTGGGGTGTAGAAGTATTCATTCAGCACAGTGGTCCTGATTTTGTTTCCGAGCTATATTTGCACCTTGCTATTATGCAAAGTTCAGCAAAGGTCCAGGGAAGCAAAACCGTTAGTTTCAGAGAACGAGATCTGGCTGTGGATTTATTCACTGAGGCCTTCTGGGTTTGTGGCTTTGGCCTACCCCCGGCCAGACTGTTTCCAGCATACAGACCATGATTAATTGACATTTAACTCTTCTGAGGGCATGACCAGATGCAACGCATACATACTTTCTGACCCTCCATGCTATTTACTAAAGTGCTGTATGTGAACTCTGAGGTCTTTAACTCTTTCCACCTAGTCACTCACAAAAATGTGCATTTTAGGTGATCACACTGATATAAGTCACTCATTCTTCTGCAATTATCTGGACAGTGACTGCAGAACACTGCCAGATGCTGGGTATGTAAGTTGAGCTAAGCCGACTAAACTGTGGTGCACATGAAGTCTGCGCGTTGTGCAACAGATGCTGTACCAGCTCAGAGCCTACAGCCAGTAGGCTCCTCTCCTTACTTGTTGTCCTGCAGCTTCTTGTGTATTTCAAATCCTTTTATCTATAATATTGATCTGAGACCACATTTGTAAACATTAATTTGTATATCTATAAGGCTTCAATAAAGTTTAGTACACATTACATGTATTAGGCAGACTTAACCATCCTTATGTTTTATGCCTTAAAATTTACAAAGGGGTTTCAAATACATTATCTCATTTAATTCTGACAACAACCAGGTGACGTACTGTGTTAGTCAAGGTTCCCCAGAGAAACGGAATCAACAGAATGTATGTGTGTGTGTGTGTGTGTGTGTGCGCAAATAGATAGGTAAAGATAGAGATTTATTTTAAGGGATTGACTCACATGATTATGGAGGCTGGCAAGTCCAAAATTTGCTCTGTGGGCCAGCAGGCTGGAGACCCACGTGGCTGACTGATGTTGCAGTTGAAGTCCGAAGGTGGCCTGCTGGCAGAATTTCCTCTTGCTCAGGGCGGGTCAGTCTTTTGTTCTAAACCAGACTTTCAACTGATTGGATGAGGTCCACCAACATTATGGAGGGCAATCTACTTTACTCAAAGACCACCAATTTAAATGTAAATCTCATCCAAAAACATCCTCAGAGAAATATCCAGAATAATGTTTGACCAAATATCTGGCACTGTGGTGCAGCCAAGTTGACACATAAAATTAATCATTACAGGTAGGCAACATTATCCTTATTTTTAAAAATGTGGAAACTGGGAATCCTCAAAGTCAAGTGATTTTTCCAAGGTTATGTATTTATTAAGGGCTACTTTCAATACACTTTCTGCTATATGTAGCTGTCTTGTAAAATCCATGATTCCTAGTTTTACAATGTTTAATTTTTTTTATTGATCCTGATATATCAGAGAAGCTTCTCTCCAGATACTCAAGATAAATTGGGACTCCTCCTGATTTTCTTGGTCTGTTCTGACACCAATTCTCTGACACCAACTGGGTGTCCTACAACTCAATTTAATACTGACACTACCCAGAGTTAGTGAAGACTCCAAAAGTTAAGGGCTCAGTCTCACAAGACTGCATCCCTTCAAATACCAGCTACCAATCTCAGATGTCTCCAAGCCACCTGCACTTCTGCCTGGAGGACTATAAATTCAAGGCTTCCCACAACCTCTCAGGTTTGATAATTTGCTAGAACAACTCACAGAACTCAAGAAAGCTCTATACTTATGATTAGTGTTTTATTATAAAGGATAAAAATGAGCAGCCAGATGAAGAGATACATAGGGCAGGGTCTAGGAGGGTCCTGAGCACAGGAGCTTCTGTCCCCGTGGAGTCAGGGTATACCACTCTCCCAGTATATCAGTAAGTTCACCAACCAGGAAGCTCCACTGAGCTTGGTGTCTAGTGTTTTTGTATGGGATTTCATTACATAGGCACAATTGATTACATCATTGGCCATGACTGAACTCAATCTTCAGTCCCTCTCTCCTCCCTGGAGGTTGGGGGTGCGGAGAAGGGCTGGAAGTTCCAACCCTCTAAATAGGTGCTTGGTCTCTTTGGCGAGGCCAGTCCCTCCCTTGAAATGATCTAAGGACCCACCATGAATATCTCGTTAGCATAACAAAGACACATAACTATCAGTCAGGAAATTCAAAGGGTTTTTGAAGCTCTGTGCAAGGAATGAGGGACAAAAACTGGATATATTCTTTATTATATCACACATTGGCCGGGATTTTCTGGATGTGTTCTGTTCCTAATGTCAAGACAGTTTCCTGCAAGTCAAGAAATAGATTAATGCCCTCAACCATTTATTTATTTAGTGCATTTTTGCTGAATACCTACCAAGTACTGGGTGTTGTATTAGACACTGGAAATGCAAAGATGATTTTCTCCCAAGGTTGTTTTCTCTCATGTGTTTTCTGAGGAATTCAGTAATAAGAGCTAAGCTAATGATACTTTTTCAACTTTTTGGGTGAAAGAGAAAATGATTTGATTCCATAATGTTC